ATGAGACCCAATATCCACCATGGAAAAGACGGTTAGAGGCTAAAATCAAGGTAACAAGGAGGGAAGTGAGCCAACTGTCAGAGCTCCACAAGGGTACAATGAGGCCAAGCCTTGGCCAGCCGCCTAAAGAGATACACAAGGGAGAATGAATCCAGAAGGATTAACCGGCTCTTCTCCACTCAACCAGCTAAGGTGTACTCTCAATCGCAGGGTAACAATAACAACAGAGCAGACCCACCAAGGCTGGAGACGGAACAGTACTGGAAAGGCATATGGGAAAGGGAGGCGTCCCACAACAGTAATGCACAGTGGCTGATCTCTCTACGAGAGGACCACAGCAACCTCCCTGAGCAAGCCCCGGTAACCATCACTGTGACAGATGTCCAAGAAAGAGTCTCAGGTATGAAAAACTGGACAGCACCAGGGCCTGACATGATCCATGCCTACTGGCTAAAGAAACTCACTGCCCTCCATGAGCGACTGGCAACCCAAATGAACCAGCTGCTACAAAGTGGGACTCACCCTGAATGGTTAACTGAAGGGCGGACAATCCTAATCCAGAAGGATACATCAAAGGGTCCAGTCCCACCCAACTACCGACCAATAACCTGCCTCTCCACAACCCGGAAGCTCATGTCAGGCATCATAGCGGCCAAGATAAGCAAACACATGGATAAAACATGAGCACGGCACAGAAAGGTATCGGTGTAAATAGCAGAGGAGCCAAACACCAACTCCTCGTAGACCGCACAGTTGCCCGAGACTGCAAAACACGACACACCAACCTGTGCATGGCTTGGATTGATTACAAGAAAGCCTACGACTCAATGCCGCATACTTGGATCATTGAATGCTTAGAGATGTATAACATCAACAGGACTCTGAGAGCCTTCATTGCAAACTCGATGAGGCTGTGGAACCACCCTTGAAGCCAACTGCAAACCACTTGCACAAGTGTCCATCAAATGTGGCATATACCAAGGAGATGCTCTGTCCCCGCTACTGTTCTGCATAGGCCTGAACCCCCTCAGCCAAATTATAAACAAGACTGGCTACGGATACCGACTCAAAAATGGGGCCAACATCAGTCACCCTCTACATGGATGACATCAAGCTGTACGCCAAGTGTGAGCGAGACATCGACTCACTGATCCACACCACCAGGATCTACAGCACGGACATTGGGATGTCATTCGGACTAGAGAAGTGTGGTCGGCTGATCACAAAGAGGGGGAAGGTGATCCGCACAGAAGGAGTCTCACTCCCACAAGGAACAATAACAGACATAGAGGACAGCTACAAGTACCTAGGTATACCACAAGCAAATGGCAACCTCGATGAGGTCACAAGGAAAGGAGCCACAGCTAATACCTCCAACGAATAAGGCAAGTCCTGAGAAGCCAGCTCAATGGCAAGAACAAAATCCGTGCGATAAACAGCTATGCCCTGCCAGTAATCAGATACCCTGCTGAAATAATTAGCTGGTCAAAGGAGGAGATAAAGGCCATGGATGTTAAGACCAGAAAGCTACTAACCATGCATGGAGGGTTCCATCCCAAATCCAGCACCCTGAGACTGTACACGAGCCGCAAGGAATGAGGCAGAGGACTAGTGAGTGTGAGAACCATTGTCCAGGACGAAACAACAAAGATCCATAAATACATCAGGGACAAAGCCTCAACAGACAATGCTCAGTGAATGTCTCAGACAACAGGTAACGGAGGTTGAGGTGCCAGAGATACCATCATGGGAGGACAAGCCCCTACATGGGATGTACCACCAGCAAATAACCCAAGTGGCTGATATCAGTAAATCCTACCAATGGCTGGAAAAAGCTGGACTCAAGGACAGCACAGAGGCCCTCATCCTGGCCGCCCAGGAACAGGCCCTAAACACCAGAGCAATAGAGGCCCAGATCTACCACACCAGACAAGACCCAAGGTGTAGGTTGTGCAAGGAGGCCCCTGAGACAGTCCAGCACATAACAGCAGGGTGCAAGATACTGGCAGGGAAAGCGTACATGGAGCGACATAACCAAGTGGCAGGCATAGTCTACAGAAACATCTGTGCAGAATATGGACTGGAAACCCCGAGATCAAAGTGGGAAACACCCCCAAAGGTGGTGGAGAACGCCAGAGCTAAGATCCTGTGGGACTTCCAGATCCAGACAGACAAAATGGTAATGGCGAACCAACCAGACATTGTCGTAGTGGATAAACATCAGAGGAAAGCCGTTGTGGTTGATGTAGCAATACCAAGTGATTGCAACATCAGGAAAGGAGCACGAGAAACTGGAGAAATACCCAGGGCCTCAGGGAAGAACTGGAGAGGGCCTGGAAGGTGAAGACCACAGTGGTGCCTGTGGTCATCGGGGCCCTCGGAGCAGTAACCCCCAAACTGGAGCAGTGGCTACAACAGATCCCAGGAACAACATCAGACATCTCAGTCCAGAAATGTGCAGTCCTTGGCACAGCCAAGATACTGCGCAGAACCCTCAAGCTCCCAGGCCTCTGGTAGAGGACCCGAGCTCAGAGGATAAGAACCACCCGCGGGTGGGTGAGAAGGGAATTTTATATATATATATATATATATATATATATATATATATATATATATATATATATATATATATATATATATTAATGCAACTTCATAAGAAACTGTGTTGAAATGCACAGATTTTCCAGAGATGAGACTGAGACAGCAAAAGTGCAAAACTTCTAAAATCACTTGCAAGTGGAGAACGACAGATAAAATCATACCAGGTGTGTTCTGAGGAGGCTGAAACTATCACAGAATCTTATACAGTTCCTTGGCGCACAGGAAGTGGGAGTCGTTTCAAATGCCCATCACCAAATTAGGACACATAACATAAAAAGTGGTTCTCTGAACCAAATAGACAGCCCTGAGGGGAGGCGTCCTTACCTAGCTTCCTCCAAGGCCACTCGGATAAGTTAAGCATCTCATCCCGTTCCCACAGTGGGGGTGCCCTAACTATTTGTTATCTCTTCCCTTGCAGGCGGCTGGCCTTGGTCCTCCCTTTTACCTATACAAAGAAGAACTGTTCTTATGAGACTATGAGTTACCAGGTGCAACTGGCTAGGAGAGAGAAGTAGAAAAACAACTTATACAGAATATTATCCATGTCCAGGTGGAATCTTAAATATTGTAGATAATTAATTTTGTTCCACGACTGAATTTTGGTTTTCATTAGTTCTGAGTTCTGCTGATGTCATAAAATCAGAAGAAATAAATGTGTGAAAATGATCTCTGTTAAATTAATCTAAATAAATTTTTAATGATTATAATTGAGACTCTCCCAATAAGAGCAATTAATCTATCAATCACATAATAAATTAAGATGAGCTTGATCATTTGCATTCTGATGATTAATGTTTTTTTGAAGTGCATTTTTCTTTAGAGAGACTTTATAATTCATTTTATTTTTGGTTTCACTTGTGTGGGTTTTATTTCCTCTTTATTGTTTTCTTTTTGTTTGGTTATCTTCCAGTTTCAGTGTGGAATATTCTGTACAAATTAAAGTTTTAGTCTTTATGTCATTATCGTTATAATACTCGAAAATCATCTTAAAACAACATTATTATATATCCCAATAATTTCTGGGTCAAATTATAGTCTTAGCCGTGTGTTTTATTTTGACAGGCCTAATCCCATATATTGAGATTTACCTGTTTTCTTTTACCCGTTGTCGCGGTAACACAACAGCTTTTCCTGGCCAGGTTGAAACCAAACACGTTTAGTGAAGCGTTTTGGTGTAAAAACACTCAGCTTTGATTTCTGTTAATCCGTCCGGAGGATCTCAGAGGTTTGGCTCCTCTGTCAGCGACTCAGTTTCTCCTCCACGCTTTCTCAGCTTGTTGTTGTCGGGTTGTTTTTCCTGCGTCGACAGACGAGGCGGGACGCGCCGCGCGCTTCCTGAGTCTCTGTTGCTGCTCGCTGGCTTCAGAGGGAACGGGGAAGCAGAATGTGCTGTTTGGAGGGAACGGGGAAGCAGAATGTGTTTGGAGGGAACGGGGAAGCAGAATGTGTTGTTTGGAGGGAACGGGGAAGCAGAATGTGTTTGGAGGGAACGGGGAAGCAGAATGTGCTGTTTGGAGGGAACGGGGAAGCAGAATGTGTTGTTTGGAGGGAACGGGGAAGCAGAATGTGCTGTTTGGAGGGAACGGGGAAGCAGAATGTGTTGTTTGAGGCAGATTGTGCTGTTTGGAGGGAACGGGGAAGCAGAATGTGCTGTTTGGAGGGAACGGGGAAGCAGAATGTGCTGTTTGGAGGGAACGGGGAAGCAGAATGTGTTGTTTGAGGCAGATTGTGCTGTTTGGAGGGAACGGGGATTTCTTCCTTTTGTTTTGGAAACTCTGTGTTTGACCTGTTGCTGGGGGCAACTGTAAACACGGTTGCCATGGCGACATGCGGAGAGGAAGCAAAAACATATCATGTGACCGAGACTTGCGCTGCCGTGTAACAAGATCCTGCTGCAAGTGTTTCACCGTGTTGCGAGGAGGAAGAGGAGGCTGAGTGTGTTCTGGGCACTTTAGTAACGCAGATAAAAACCAAATAAACAGATGATATCTGGGAGTTTTTCTCCCCCGAAGGAGAAAAACTCATCTGGCCTGACAAACCAAGACGTTACAAACCTGTGATCTCTGTAGAATCAGGTCGCCGCTCATGCTGCTGCAGCAGCTCACCTCTGCTTGCTTTACGTTCACCGACACTCACAGCCCTGCCTCCATAACTCAAGCACAGGAAAGAAACGTTACAGGTGAATTCAGGTCACTCGGAGCAGGAAGACGTATCTGTAAAGCCTCTGTGGATGATTAATGTGCAGGGAGCCGGGTTTTTGTTGAACCAGGAGGACCCAGGTTGCGGCTGCTTGCCTGGAGAAACTTTGTTGTGTGTCTGGTTGCCATGGCTCAGCTCTGTGTGTTTTCTCCCCCCGCCTTCCCGTCCCTTCCCTTCCCTGCCTTGCTTTTCTCCTGCAGGCTACTTTGGATGTGGTGATGAATCTGCAGTTCCACTATGTGGAGAATTTCTGGCAGAACTTTTGGAATGCAACAGCGCCATCTAATGACGGCAGCACAACCATCCCCAGCAGGTCGGACCAGATGAAAACGGCTCTCTGTGGGCCTCAAAGCTCCCGAGTTGGAAGCAGCAGCATTCACGTTGCTTTCGTTTCTGTGTGCTCCTTGCAGCGATGACGACCTGGAGCGAGTGATTCCCAGGGAGAAGCTGGTGTCTCTGTGCAAATATGAACCAGTCCGGCTATGGATGAGGAGCTGTGACCACATCCTGTACCAGGCCCTGGTGGAGATCCTCATCCCCGACGTGCTGCGCCCTGTTCCCAGTCAGTACGCCTCCTCCTCACATAGTAGAGAGTCTGATTCACCTTTGACCTGCTGATGGAACTTTTTTTTTTTATCAGATTCTTTAGAAGTGACTCAGTGATGATGTCATACTGAAAAAAATGCAGATATTTTAATTTATACTTCAATAAAATTTTATTTGTATGGCAGCTTTGAACTACAAGGCATTTATTTCAAAGAGCTTTACATCATAAAAATACAAAATCATAGAACACGGTCAACAATTGAAACAATTAACTTGATCAATTTTTTTATTGATTATGTTTCAATGGCAAATTATTTTGTCTAGATTTAAAATCCTTAGCATCTGAGGGATTAGCGCTCCCAGCTCCTAAAAACTAATCTTAACTGCAGTCTGTGTCATTCCTTATGGAAAGTAGAACTTCAGCTTAGCTCTGAAATTTCCAGAAGATGATAATATTTTCCAAATCCGTGACGATTCCTGACCTCCATTAGCTGTTCGCTCTTTCCCATGACCACGATGTCCAATCGCTCATTGAACTCGAGCTCACAAGAAAGTCCGTCTAAGTGGACAAACACAAAATCAGGAGGCAGATGGTTTTATTTCAATGCATCCATGAAATCCTTCCATGTTGTTGCATATATTGATTCTGTAATGATGAGTTTAGTTTGGAGATTTGCCTCTGTGCTGGTTTGTAATCCAGGCCGTTGTGTTTCTGCAGGCACTCTCACTCAGGCCATCAGAAACTTCGCCAAGAGTCTGGAGGGTTGGCTGACGACCGCCATGACCAGCTTCCCACAGGAGATCGTTCGCACCAAGGTAACCGGAGATCTCCAGAAAGACATTTTACGCTGATTATTAGGCACCGACCAAGGTTGTTTTTTGTTTTTTTTGTTTTTATTTAAATGCTGCAGGGTCACCTTGTTTTTCCCTCAGCAGATGTTCTTTCTTTGAGTCTTAATGATCAATCACTGAATTAGCTGGATGTTATTTCATCATGACTGATCGGGCGAGTCGCTGCGTGTTTCACTGTGCAGGTGGCGGTGGTCAGTGCGTTCGCCCAGACTCTGAGGCGTTACACCAGCCTGAACCACCTGGCCCAGGCGGCCCGCGCCGTTCTGCAGAACACCTCCCAGATCAACCAGATGCTGTCCGACCTCAACAGGGTGGACTTCGCCAACGTCCAGGTAAGCTCCGCCCCCAGGAGGCCCTTCGGCTCCCCTTGCTGCGGCGGCTCCCCTCTGACCCAACCCTGGGTTTGCCCAACAGGAGCAGGCGTCGTGGGTCTGCCAGTGTGACGAGGGCGTGGTCCAGCGTCTGGAGCAGGACTTCAAGGTGACCCTGCAGCAGCAGAGCTCCCTGGACCAGTGGGCCAACTGGCTGGACAACGTGGTCTCCCAGGTCCTGAAGCCTCACCAGGGGAGCCCCAGCTTCCCCAAAGCCGCCCGCCAGTTCCTGCTCAAGTGGTCCTTCTACAGGTACGGCGCGGCGCTGAGGCCGTTCCGTAAAAATCCAGAATAGCAAAGAATCAGGATTCACTGCGGAATGGTTGACGTTTCTCCGCTTGCAGCTCCATGGTGATCAGAGACCTGACTCTGCGCAGCGCCGCCAGCTTCGGCTCGTTCCATCTGATCCGCCTGCTTTACGACGAGTACATGTTCTACCTGGTGGAGCACCGCGTTGCCCAGGCAACTGGAGAAACTCCCATTGCCGTGATGGGAGAGGTAAGAGATGCTCTCAGTGCAGGCGGGGTGATGAAGAAAACTAAATTGATTAAAATCATATTCAGATTTGATATTTAAGCCGGATCGCACAGCCCCACCTGGAACACATCCTGAAGTTTTCATGACTCTTGATTTTTCTGTCATTCTGTCACATGAAGCCAAAGGTGTAAGGATAAAAACATGCCGCACTTTAAAGATTTTAACACAGTGAAGCCACGTGTTGCTGCTTTGATTTGCTGAGTGAAAAATGTTAAACACTGACAGGATGAGAACAACTGGGACGTGTTTAAAAACGGTTAGCAAAGCACCGTTAGCCTGATGTCTCCTTATTTTGTTTTGTTTACAAATTCTCCCTCCAATCTAACTTCCAGTTCAGCGACCTGAGCTCCATGATGCCGTCGCTCCTGGAGAAAGGTGAGCGTTCGTTTTCTGAAAGCAACACGTTTTAACTGCCAGCTGAAAACGGAGAATCCTCTCCCTCTGCCGCAGATGCGTCGTTCTCAGACGAGATGAGCAACCTGGACGGCGACGGCGCTCCGGCCGAGCCGGCGGTGAAGAGAGAGAGGATTGAAATAGGCCACCCTCTGCAGGAAATGTGAGTCCGGTCTGAACGGAGCGGACGCAGCAGAACGAGTGCAATGTAAATAGAGAAGAGTGCAGAAGTAGTAGAAGTGTTTATAAAGATGGTGTATGGTGTACCCCCCCACATCCCCCCGCCCCTCACACACACACACACACACACACGGTTTTATTCGTTGTCGTTTCACCGCGGTGTGACGGATCTCGTTGTTTTTTGTTGGGACTGTGAATTTTTTCTGCGCAGTAGCTTCTCTTATTGGATGTTTAACTTCTAAACGGCGGCGTTTTTGTGCTCCATCTGTTTTTTTTTCTTTGTTTTTTTTTCTTTAAATCCATGTTTGTTGTGCCACAGTGTCCTTTGAGTGCCTTAGATTAACTTTGAAATCGCCGCTATGGATGTCGCCTTGTCCCTCAGCTGTGCCTCAACCGCAGCATGAATGTACCGTCTTCAAACCTCAAAACGCTCAGAGCGCCTTCGCTCTCCCCGATGCCTCTGCTGCACCTCGTAGCAAACACACGGTAAAAAAATGATGCTAGAAAAAGAAATGGGTCAGAGGACGTAAGAACATGCAGCCTAGCAACCCAAAGGACTTTCCCGTTTGTTTTCCTGCTCAGCCGAGGGTTCGGAGCAGGAAAAGATGGATTTTTTACCTCAACGTTTCTGTCCTGGTCTCCAGATGGTTCAACAAAGCCTGTTGTGATTGTGATGCTCAGAGCCTTGCAAAAGTTTTCACTCTAACTCAGTTCATCATTCATTCAATGGAAAGAATCTGAAAGGTGTTTGTATTCAGTCCCATGATTTATCTACCAGTTTTACTTGTACAAAAACTGGAAGCTAAAGTCCAGATATTCTCAAAATGATTTAAATATTAATATATTCAGAACCAAACCAGAGGTGTCCAACAGACGTGGCCATCGGGGACGTCGCCATGTTTCAGAGCAGGTGAAACAGCATTTTTCATGCATGGCTGAACCCAAATGTTTGGGTTTGTTTTTATACAACTATAATATCTTTGCTGTTTTCTCTTTCATGGTGCGTTGAAATGAGACTTTCTCAAGCGTGACTAATTCTTCCTATGCTCCAATGAAAACAGCTGAATTTATGCTGATTAGTTTCCACATTAATCCAGTTACGTTTTAGTGAAAGTCACTGGACTTCATTTAGGGGCTGAATACAAATCCATGCTGCACTTTTCAGATTTTTGTGAAAAAACAAAACTGTTTCCATATGCTATGAAAACGATAAAGAATGTGAATAGTTTTGCAAGGGACAGTATGTAACTCGCTCTGGAGTTGGAAATATTCCAGATTAATCAACAGAAAGGAGGCAGGATGTTAAACAATCCGTGTTGACAAAACGTGGAGCGGAGCCGGCTCCGAGGCTGCAGAACCTTTAGCCTCACGCCGTGGCTGCGTCGTCGTCTTCTGTTCGGTTCCATCGGAAATACAAGGCGCCGATTCAGAAAACGTAACGAATATGTTTATATGATGTGGAAAATGCCTCGTTTCCTTCTGATGCCGTTGCATCAGAAGGAAACGCTTTGCTGTCGCTGAATGAGACGAATCTGTTCCCAATCTGATGTTAAATGTGCGAAACGGTTTATTACTGCGGCGTCGCAGTAAACTAAGGTGTCTGGAAACAACAACAAAAAATCCTATTTATGAGTTAATCTGAATTGATGGAATTTTTGTGTTGAAATTATTTTTTATTTTCCCTCAGATGATTTTGTTGTAGCAACAAGAGTCTTAAGTTATTTAAGGCTTTTCGTAACTCGTGCCTGTCACAGTAATTTGCCTTAAAGTGCTTTGGAGGAAAATTATTTCTATGTGTACTTTGTAACGTTTTGTAAAGCTGTTAGATTATTTTTTATTGATCTAGTTTCTTCTCACAAGTATACTGAATTTATTGTGTATTTTTAAACCTGTTCTTGACTCCACTTTAACTAGCCTAAGGACAGATGATTGTCTGTAATAAACTGCATAGTTTCACTGTATTTTGTACTTGGTCACAAAGTGTAATAAATTGTTGTAAACCCAAACAGTTTAAGCACTTTATTATTTAATCAGTTTTGAACATCACAAAATCCTCTACTTCTGCTTTAGAAACAGCTTTTTCTACAGTTTGATAGAAGATCACAAAGTTGGTACAAAGATACAGTATGTACATTAAATACCCCAAATTCCATGGCAGCAGCTTTTTTTTTTTACTTTATTTTCTTTAATATAATTTACATAAAGAGATGCAGCTTATTTTCCAGTTTCTCGATCCAAACACACAACACAGTCTGAACAAAGAAGCTTCAGTAAAAACAGTTTCTCTCCAGGAAAACGCACCACAAACAGAAGTTAGAGAGAAACAGTAGAAGAAGAAAAACGTTGGTCCTAAAACAGCAGGACGTGTCAGAAGTAAGTGCACGGTGTCCTCCACGACTGAACGCCGATGCAGCAGCGAGGAGCCGATCGGGGAGCTGCTGGGTCACAGGGAGCAGCCGGCCATGTACTTCCCTGTACAGGAAAATAATCCAGATTAAAATTAAACGCACCACAACAGATTACAAAATGTGACAAATGTTGTATTTTGAGCCACCAGTAGAGACTGGTGGAACCACGTCAGTACCGACCCAAATTAAATTTTAGTTTTGGAAGAGATGAGGACAGGAGATGAAACGGTTCAGTCAAAGTTTAAAGCGGCAGCGTCAGTATTAATAAAATATAATAAAAACCAAATATGAAAGCAAATACTTGATAGATTTAGATTAAATTTAATCAGATTGATGTTTAATATGACAGAGTAACACATTTTTAAATGAGCATATAGAAATAATGTCAGCAAAGTAAAAATAAAATGCCAGGAGAAAGTCTAAGATGTGATGCAACCTGCAGGTCTGAGTGTTTCTCTGTTTCAAAATGTTAAAAGATTAAAAGTATTTTCCATTTGGGCTGAAACTTTGGAGGAAAAGACAGAACAGAGTAAAAAGGGATAATGTTTGGAAATGAAACAAAATCTGTTTTTATTTAGATTTTAAGCAAAAAAAGATGGAAAAATATATTAAAGCTATCAAACACTTAGAAATAATGTTGGTCATTTTTTTAAAAAAAAGTTAAATTTTTAGCTTCTAGTTGCTTATAAACTGGAATCTATAATCTATGTATCTGTATCTCTGGACAAGACTTAAGGATTTTATTTTTTAAAGATGCTTTAAGTTTACTTAAAATCTGTCACTTTAAATCAAAATCTGCAATAGGTATTAATGGACTATTTATTTTTAGATGTGCAGAGATCAAACATTCCCAGATCTGCACCAACAGATGTAAAGATTTCAGAATCACCTGTGGCGAACCTCTTCTTGACCAGCGACATGCGGTACCGGGTTCCCACCAGCTCCACATCCAGGCCCGACAGCGACGTCCCGGCGCCCACGAATTGGACGGCCAGGCTGGGCGGCGGGCCGTGGGGGGCCTCCAGGCACTGCCAGCTGGCACACAGCGTCCCGGAGCCTGGGAGCCAAAAACACACAACAATGTTCAGCACCGTCCACCGGGCCGCTTAGGAGAACCAGTGATCCAAAACCAGAAGCTCAACAGGTTTACCTTCAAAATGTGACCTGGTTTTGTTTTTAAGAGCCAAGCTTTGAATTTAGTGTTTGAGAACTCGGTTTTCCACATTAATCAATAACTAAACTAATCGACTAATGATTAGTTTAGTTATTGATTGATGGGGTAAAAATGTCTCCACGTTCTCCAGAGTTTTCATGTAACCGTTTAAGGAGAGTTGGATCCTAACATGTTTTAACCAAACCTGAAGAGGAACGATCAACAGCCAGAAAACGGCGATTACAGCTAAAACCAAAACGATCTAAAACTAAACTTTTTTTATTGATATCTAGAGGAAGGATGAACCTCAGAGGAGCTGCAGACACAGAGCCTGTCCGCTTCTGTTTACGAGACAGACAGCGAAACATAAACAAGCGGCTCGCTGCTGTCAGGCGGCATTAATGGAAACCACTTCAGTCGTAAACAAAGAGGAAAACGCTTTTAAACGGAGAGAAAAAGTTACAGCAACCTTTCATTGTTGCTTCTGGCTCATAAAACAAAATGCTTTTATCTCTTTTGTTGCTTTTATTTATGTCTCTGAAATTTCCTTCATCTATTTTCTGAGAAATCATAAAAAAATAACAAAATAAGTAAATAAGAGGCAGAAATGAGGGAAATTATTAAAAAACCACTGAATATATTCAACATTTATCCTGATTTAAATGAACAGACAATTTTAAAGGAATCTATGGATGAATGATTCATCTCTCTGTTCCTCTTAAAGTTAGACGTGTGAAACTGAAAAAGCTTTAAGTTTTCTGAGTCGTTGGTCCCGATTGGCTGGCAGAGTTCTGACCTTTGCTGTGATTGGTTGGAGAGAGGTTTGGCAGTTTCCACAGCAGCCGACGTTCCTCAGCGTTCCTGCAAACAATCGGGAGCGTCGTCAAGCTTTGTTTAAGTGAATAATTTCTTATTTTTTTATTTGAATAAGTTCTAGTTCCACTGATAGATTTATTTCACTTATAATAAGACATTTCCCCATGTTAGAAAAATAAAATTTTCCAGTAGAGCTAGTATGTTTTTCATTAATACTAAGGACTTAAAACAAGCTCCTGTATTCTACTAAAGAGTTATTTTTAAATTAGTTTTGTTAAAATAGAATCTTATTTTAGGTTAATAATTCATTAACATTGATGAAAAAGTTTCATTTACAACATGGGAAAATGTCTTAAGTAAAATAAACCAATATTAAGCAACTGACGTAAAACAAGCTTCTATGTCTTGTTACATAGAAGTTAGTTTTCTTTTTCCTAAACCAAAAATATTTGGTGAGATTTTGTGTTTTTGCAGCGTAAGGAGACCTGAGACAGTTGGATCAGTTAATTAATGGGATGAAAAGTCATGTGGTTTGTTGTTTTTGTCCCTAGTCGTCGCTGCTCACCAGGAGGCGGGCGGCTGGCACTGCAGGTCTGTGGCGGTGTGGTCCAGCGGCAGCAGCACCTGGACGGCGGTGAGCTGGGTGGAGGGCGCCGTGGCGGGGCAGCAGTGGTAATCCAGGGAGACCCGGGTCACCGTGCCGCTGCGCTGACACTCCGCCGACAACAACAGAGGCGCTCGACCCGGATCCTGAGAGGAAACCTGAGAGGTTCGCAATGGGAATGCGTTTTAAAATTCAGTTTTGGAGGTTTTCCATTTGGCTTCTTTTTATGTCTCATTTACATTAAATTCACATTTCCCCTTCCTTTTGGGTCTCAACTGCTTCTAAAGAAAACCAAAGTGTTTAAAAATATAACCAGGCGTTTTTGACAAGGTGATGTTTTAAAACCCTCCCGATGGCTAAGTTTCATTCAAGCCAAGCTCCAGAATGTTTGGTCAGCCGGTTTTACCATCAAAACACTTGAAAAGACAAGTGTTTCAGTGCTGAAACACTTGTCATGTTGGTTGTGCAGGAGGCTGTACTAATGCTTTTCAAAGATGCCCTGTTGTGTAATTTGTGCATCTGTTTGCAGCCATTTTCATGTCTGAATGTAAACGTTGAGTTAGGGGCGTGGCCAGCAGCCGCTTATTTAAATTTAAAGTGACAAACCTAAACCTGCTGAAAGGACCTTAAAATAGACAGAACTGAACAGACTGAAAATCTGATTATCTAAGAAAGATTTTGTCCAAAATATGCACTGAACAGGTTTAGTATAACCCGTAGATCTGTCCTAAACTGGTTAAGGAAACATAACAGGTCACCTTTGAGATTCATGCAGAAAACTAAAAGAGTAAATCCGTTTCGGACCTGATACTTGAGCACACCAACGTTGTAGTAGGAGGCCTGGGGGTTCAGCTCGGCCTCCTTCTGCAGGTGGAGCTGCAGGGCCTGCATGTTGAACCAGAAGTCCCTGCTGTCCGGGTCGCTCTGCGATGGATCACTGCAAAGCAGAGTCGGGCAGAATCTAGTTACATTTACATGAGCAGTTTTATCATGAAGTACTGCTACTCTTGAGTATGTGTGTGTGTGTATATATGTATGCAAGTACATCTGTGGTTTTTTTGCATATAATTTTGTATTTATACAAATGAATCAGTTTATATTAGGTTTGGCGTTTTTTTCTACACTGTACTGGTTTTTCTTGTTTTTCCATTTCTGCTGCTTTTATTTTGTTATGTCTACTTTTTGCTGTAAAAGCTTAAACATTGCAATTTTTTTGGACACAAAGCATTATCTAATCTTCATTTATTTACAAAAATTTTGGATCCTGTATGAATGATTTTCATTTTGGTACCAACATTTCCACAGAACTTTACATTTTGGTCCACCTGATGTAATTTCAAAATATTAACACAGTGGAATAAATACACAGACAAATAGATTCGGGGAGAGAAGGCAGCTGACCTGTAGAGCAGCTTCTGATTGGGCAGGAAGTTGTCGATCTTTGAGATGTTGACGAGCCGGAAGCTGAGCACGGGAACGTTCGGGTTGGCAGTGAAGATCCGGGTGATCCCGGCTGGGAAGGACATCATTAAATCGCCTGTGATTTTCACCAGACACCTGAAGAAGAACCAGAAACACGGGGAGCTCATCCTGCTTTAACCATCTACTTAAATCCGACCGTGACGTCATCATGATGTCACCAGGCTGACCGGTTGTGCTGTCCGCCTTTGAAGTATGCGTTGATGTATTCTGTTATGGCGGCTGCGACCGGCCAGGCGTCCTGTGTGCTGAGGGAAATGGGGCTTGGTCCTCTGGACAGGTGCACTGTGGAGAGGATGCAGATGAGGTTTAGGATTCAAAAGACTTTTTACAGTTAAAGATTAGCAGAATGAACTCAGACCAATTAAATTGAAGCTTTTTAATACATCCAGTTCTAGAGACAATCGCTGACCTCTGGAGCTGATCCCAAGATCTAAATTGTATGTCAAAGGTTATTTAACTACACTGCTTCAAATTTCTTAACATTACAGCAACTAAAAAAATTCTTTCCATTATTTTGGAGACTTAAAATGCAACTAAACCACA